GTGGGAAGCGTAAAGAGCACAATTTGAGCTACTGGCAGAGGTGAACGGATGGACAGAGGAGCAGAGGGCAGTATATCTGGCAACGAGCTTGAAAGGACAACCACTGGAAATAGTTGGACAGTTGTCAGCAGACGACAGGCACAACTATTGAACACTGGTAGCGGCTCTAGAACTCAGGTACGGAACCCAAAACCAGTCAGAAGTCTACAGGGCCAGGTTCAGGTTCAGGATGAGAGTCCGTGCTAAAGGAGAGAGCCTGCAAAAGCTGGCACAGGACTTGGAAAGCATGGCACACAAGGACTACCCAACTGCACCACCCGACCTCCTCAAGTTGTTGCTGAGGGATCAGTTCGTAGATGCCTTGGAGAGTCCACAACTTAAGATACAAGTGAAGCAAACACGACCCTCTACCATGGAAGATGCAAAGGCCAGAGCTCTCGAATTTGAATCCTACGTTATGTTCAGCACAGAGGTATCAAGGCTGGTACAGTCATCTGGATTTAAGGCCAGAAAAGGTCAGCTTTCAGAGAGGTTTGAGGAACTTTGCTGGCACTGTAATAAACCTGGGCGCAAGAGAGCTCAATGCTGGCAACTTCTACACAGGGGATATAATACAGCAGGAAAGGCTGCTATCCAGAAAGGCTGTTGGAACTGTGGGGAGCAAGGACATATGAGGAGCCAGTGTCAATAAGTCAGCCTCAAGGAGACCAGTAGTGGTTGGTGTTGAGGGACACTCACAACCCCCCATCATGAATGTCCCTACAGCTAACTGTAAAATGCCAAACACACACAGCGTCTATGTGACAGGAAAGCTGGATGGCCAAAAGTGCAACTTTGTCATAGATTCTGTGTCTCAGCAAACCCTTATGAGTATCAAGGGGTTAGATCACGAAGGAATACCAGAAGCTGCACAGAAGCTTTGTGGTGTGACAGGACATTCTACAAGATTGTGGGGACCAGTGTGGGTAACTATTGAGCTCATGGGCATAAAGGACAGACAGAAAGTATATTTGGCTGACATTGAAGACGAATGCATATTAGGATTGGACTATCTACTACCAAGGAAGTTTGTAATTGATTTTGATAAAATGACGTTTGGGAATAACAAAGGCCAAGTTCTGGTAACTGTTAAAAGATGAGGTTGAACTAATTAGGTACATCAAGCT